ATCTCACATTGTATCGAATCATCATAGGTTCGTTACTATACCGCACGGCTAGTCGACTTGACATTATGTTTTCTGTGTGCAATTGTTCTAGGTACCAATTGAATCCTAGAGAACCTCATCTTATAGATGTGAAGAATATTTTTTGCTATTTCAAAGGCACATTTTCGTTAGGATTGTGGTATCCTTCGAAAACAGGGTTTTTCATTCAAGAATTTTCAGATGTTGATCTTGGTGGATGTCAACTTGATCAAAAAAGCACAAGTGATGGATGTTAACTTTTGGATGGGAAGCTTGTAAACTGACAGTCGAAGAAACAAACATGTGTTTTGATTTCCACAACAGAAGCAGAATATGTTGTTGTTGCAGCTTGCACTTCTCAAATCATATGGATATAAAGTCAACTGCATGATTATGCAATCAACATGAAGAAAATTCCGTTGTATTATGGTTCACAAAGTGTCATACGCATTTGTCACAATCCTGTGCAACATTTTAAAACAAAGCACATAGCTCTTCACTATCACTTTATTAAGGATCATGTGGAAGAAGACAATATTGAAGTTCATTTTGTAAAGCAACTGACCAGTGTGCTGATATCTCTACAAAACCATTAGATGAAAAATCTTTTGTAAGAATCTTGAATGGCTTAGGAATGATGGATGTGAATTCAGTTCAAAAACTGATTTCGTTAGATTAACAAGCCAAAGTGGTAGAAAGATGTCGATCCAACGGTTACTATGCATTATTCAGTGGTTACTGTTCATAGTCAACGCTTTGACATGCTTCACTTTCGACATTATGAACAATGGTCTGAAAAAATCTTCGCTACTTTTGTCATTATCTTATTTTCGCTAACTATGTACATTTTTTTTAATGTTTACTATATTTTCTTTAAAAATCAAAAACAACAAAAAGATTTTCGTTTTTGTTTTTCATTTTCAAAATTCAAAAATATCAAAAAGATTTTCTTATTTTTGTAATTTTCTTTCAAAAATCAAAAATCCAAAAATATTTTTGCTTTGTTAATTTTTTCTTGTGTAGCTTTTAGCGAAGATTTTTGTTGGTACATGCTTGCTGCTTGAGGGAAATGTGTATCTTCGAAACTATGTACTATTTAAGATGTCCCTAGAAGCATGCTGCAGCATGTCGACCAAAGCCTCCATATCTCAATGTGTTTTGAAGCCTTAATGGATTTTTCATTATGAGGATTCCTACCCAATGAGGCTATATTCACATTAGTTTCTCAGCTACCTTATTTTTCTCAAATGAGTTAAGAGTTAACTGCTTGGTCCAATCATAGCAGAGGTATTTTTGATTCTTGAACCACTCTTTTTCACCCTAAAGTTCTTTCACGATCACACACAAAGACACATACTCAAGATATCTCTGGTAAAAACCAAACAAGTTATAGGTATGTAAATAATCTGTGTTTATGATTTGGATTCATAAGATCATGATAAAAGTGAAACCCAATGTATCAAAAAATTAAAGGAATTAACGGGGAACTTTGTTCAAGATTTTAACGAAAATTTTGTTTCAGTACCATCTTTTCGATACTTCAAATCATATTCTTTCTTTTTGCGTGGTCTTGATAAAATGTTCGAAACCCACAACATTTTTACCCATCAAGATCCAAGAACAATTTTATTTTATGGAATATGATTTCAGTGTAAGTATCAATTTGATTCTTCGTTACTTGATTAAATTTTCCAAACCATACTAGTCCCTGACTACACTAGCCAAACAAGTAACTTCGGTAACAATTTCTCACACTTAGGTCTAGATGTGATACATAATGAAATTCTTAGCCACCCATTAAGCTTTATAAAAAGATGCCCTTTCAATACTTATATATAAGTATTCAATTGTAATTCACGGGAAACCACACAAGCTGTGAGTCATCTCTCTTGATGAATAACGAAACAATCTTTGCTTGGGATGTAACCGCATGTGTGTCGAAATATTTTGGACATCACAGAACCAAAATTATCTTATTTTGTTTCTAATCTATTTCTTTGGCACACTTTGCCTCATAAAATCCTTGAGGTTCCGAGTAATACCAACTTAGGATGATAAATTCGAAAGTCTGGCACATGATTTCGCTTTTCAACCAAAAAGTGAAAGAGCCTAACCTCTATACCGAAGGTTTCTGACGGTTCTTATCCTATTGGTACTATTAAACAGACTGATGGATGTGACATTCTGGTTACTATGCAGTTTTTAAGGAAAAGTGATCATCACTTTTTAGATGTATCTATCTTTATGGCTCTAGCTCCGCTTTTCTAGGTGACACGTGGCTTATCATTTAATTCAAAAACCGTTTGGAATTCAAATTTGGTGTACGTATAAAAAGGATTTGGGGATTTTATTCCAAATTTACGCACACTTAATCTTCTCAAACTATTTGTTTTTTTTTCTTGCTGAAATTCTTCAAGTTCTTCAAAACCATAATAATGGCGGCCAAGCAATTTGAAACCACTGAAGATATTTCATCCCAACCAATCATGAAGATCCAACGTAATAACTACAAAGTTCTTGGAGATGTTGATGCTTATCCAGAGGTTTTACAGATGCTCCATGTTTCTCTCCAAAATTTCGTACTGTCAGCTGCTATGTTCAGTTTATTATTAGTACCACTTCCTTGGTTGTCACTTGTTGGATCTATGGCTACTTACAAAAAGATGATGAAGATAGTAATGTTTCAGTTGGTGAATGAAAAGAAATTCAGGTTATCAAAGAAACTCTTTGCTCAGATTCTAAATATCCCAAATGTTGAACCTTTCTACAAGGTAAGAAATGAAAAAGTCATTCATATGTTCAATGAGATGGGTTATCAACCTACTCTTACCAAAGTCAGTGAGTTTAAGAAGTCTGGATTGACTTGCATTTGGAACTTCTTGTTTGGAATATACCTTCGATGTCTGACAGGTCGAAGTGTTGGGTTGGATAAAGCTCGATTAGAAGTGTATGCTATGGTAGCAGGGATTTACTATGATTTATCAGTGGACTATGCAACTCAAATTTGGAATGAGTTTGTCAAGATTATTGGAAATATGAATGTTGTAGATGGGATTTCTTGTGCTCGATATTGCAGCTTAATTTTATAATTTGTTTATGAGAAGGAAGGGATTATGTTTCCTGAAGGCGAAGAAACAATAGAATTCTCAACATATCATTATCCCAAAATAGTCGAAGACAGTCCATATATGTTTCCTACTATTGATCGCATCCCAAATGTGATGCTTCGTAAAGTTGATCCAACAAATCCTATATTAGTAGCCTATTTGCATACTATCAATCCATCCATTCAGACTGGAGTGTTGTTGCAGAAGTCCGATGAAGGTCCTTCAAAGAAGCGCAGAAGATCAAAGAAGGATGATCAACCTAGTCTTACGAAAGCAGTACCACTTGAAAAATTGGCTAAGTCTCCAAAGAAATTTTTTAAAGGAGAAAAACATTCAAAGAAAAATCCAAAGTGTAACACCCCGTTTTGAAAAGTACTTTGGTGGTGGTCTCAGAGGCCCAGGTCTGGGGCATGTAAAGTCACCAAGTCGGTGAATTTATGGATTAAGATGTTGAAAAGGACTTGGATCTGTGATTTTAACTTCTAGATCAGAGTATTAAGCACTTAATATGAAAGTGACTTAACATGGAAGTACGATGAGTGTACATGCAGGTACGTCCAGCGTACACACCATTTGGATAGTACACTTAGTGTACATAGGAGTATGTCCAACTTACTCATCAGATTTGGGTCTAGCAAGTTTTGGGCCTTGGATCTTAGGGCCATAAGAATTCAAATAATATGGGCCACTAGTGGGTTTGGGAAGCCCATCTAGTGTTGGGCCTTTTATAATATGATTTTGAGCCTTAGATATAGAGCAAGCTGGACTAGAGGGTAAAATGGTCATTTTACCCTAAGGAGGATTATTGATTTGGACTAAGTGATATTTTGGTATTGATAGCTCGGGGAGTCGAGAGATCAGCAGTTCGGGGATCTGCCAGCTAGCAGGGAGGGGTTATTCGCAAGATTCCACAGTCAGCTTTGCGAGGTGAGTTTTCCTCCAGTAGGAATGGGTCTAAAGAACCAATGCCCGCCCGTTTATATAGTTACAGTATGCTGGACTCCGGTCTGATGTCGGGGTTAGTCCGATGCAGCTTATGTGTTCCGGACTTCGGTCCGATACCGGGGCGGTCCCGAGAAGTAGTTATGTATGCGTGATGTCCTTGTGATTCATGCATGTTATATGTTATGTGTTATGTGTTCCGGGCTTCAGTCCGATGTCAGGGCATGCCCAATATATGTTAGTTTTTATGTTACGTGTTACGTGTCCCAGAGCAAGCCCGATGTCGGGGCAACCCCGATGTACGTTAGTTTGTATGTTATATGTTATATGTTACCAGCTTCGGTCTGATGCCATGGCAAGCCCGATGCAGATTATGTGATTATGTTATGTGTTTATGATGCATGTTATGTTGTGTATGTTTCGGGGTAAGCCCGATTTCAGGGCAAGCCTAATTTTGGGGTGAGCCCGATGCTCAATGCGGTTAGATGCCAGAGAAATCCTGGTGTCGGACAGGAGTCCGATGCCGGGTAAGCCGAAGTCGGGTTCGTCCCGATGCAACTAGGCGGTGGCCCATAGTTGTTTTATGTGTGATGTGTTATGTGTATGGTATGTGGTAGTTTGGGGGAGCCAATACGCTTCGTGCTTACAGTTTCAGTTTTGGTTTCAGGTACTTCAGCTAGCAAAGAGAAGGGCTCAGGATGATCGCATGACACACACCAAAAATTTCTTAGTCTAGAAGTTTACTCTGGTAATTTATATGAGCTTGTTATATGATGACATATATTACGTTATCTTAGGATACATGGTTTATGATTATATATGATGATGATATTTATGGTTTTATTAATGATTTAAAAACAAAATTTTTGGACCGTGTTTTTGGGATGTTTCACAAAGCCTATTGTTGAATAAAGTGCCATTATTTCGAAGGAGATGGTACCTACGAAATCAGGAGTCTTAAATAGATTGAAGAAAATGGCTTATAAACCACACCATTCACCTGAACGATCGTCAAGCTTTTCTCCATCTTATATTTGCAAGCCTCAACTCAATAGTAAAGGGGTTGTGTTTCATGAAATACCAACACCAGTATCTATAGCTTCGAAGAAAAGGCTTTCTAAATACATGACTAAACGCATTTCGAAGAAACAAAAGAAGCAGAGGAAGTTGATTCTCAATGAAGACTCCATGGAAGATGAGGTAGTTCCTGCATCTCCACTTGGACGTGATAAAACAGGAAATTATTCACTTGTGAGGGATTCTCCAGTCAAGTCGAATCTTGAGGCGACTGTCAATCTTGATGGAAATGTGGAAGCTTCTAAATTTAACACAACCATCACTCACGGTGAACAACCAAAGATATATACTCCTAAGCAGACAATGGTCAAACCACTCGGAGTATCGACTACCGAATCAATTATTGAGGAGGTTCGCACTTCAGGCATCACTGCGAACATATCTAATATGGATGCAAATTTCAACAAGGGTGATGGAGTATTGAATAATGAAGCCCAAGGTAATCCTTCTCTTATTGTTTCTACTACTTTCGAAACCTCTGTTGTTGATACCACAATCTCTTTACCTAGATTTCTTATTCCCACTTCATCCGAAATACCTACATCAACCCATTCACCTACTTTCGATAATGTCATGCAACAACCCATTACTTCTTTATTCCCATCCCAATCCACCAAAACTCTAAAAACCGGTCATGATGATGAAACAGATGATGGTGAGTTCATGGTGTCATTTGCCAATATCGAATTTGATTTTGAAGAAGAAAATACACCAGATCACATGTTGATGTCCGACAAGTAGTTTAAGATTCTGAATAGAAAGCTTAATTCTTTACTTCAATTACAAGCGAATGCAGGGGGTAAACATGTAATAGATAAATTGTAATTAACATTTGATGATTAAATAAAGGAGTATTATTTATAAGTAATGTTACTGTCTTGTGTTAATTATTTACTATTGTTTCACTTTGCATGTTTTGACTTCCAAAATAATAAGATTATTTAAACTATCCACAGTCTATCATAAATTGGAAGTAAGTATGAAAGAAGACTATCATGAATTGGCTTGTAGATTGTCTAAAGCTTTTATACATAGCAAAAGTTTGTTGCAATGTTCATGAGTGCTTCTGAAATAAGATTTGAGTATTGGATTAAACCCACAGTCACAAGAATTACTTCATGGAATTTAATCACGAGTTATTGTGAGACGATAATATCATATAGTTTTTAAACCTAGATATATGAATTGTTGTTTATAAGTCGGTTGTGCATTGATAATGCGTAAACGCATCAGTAACTTGATGTTATAAAATGTATTGTTGTGTACGATTTGATGAGTAAATAGTACAAGCATATAAGTCGAAGTTTATCCGTTCCTTTTATCCTACGAGGTTAAAAGCGATATCGTGGGCCCCTCGATGATTTGGTTTGACTTATGTGTCGGGCCCGATCAGGACTGAGTTGATGTGTTCAATTAAGTTATATGTTAGAAAAATCGGAAATCGGGAAACAAACTGTTGGACAATAAGTATGACTATGTTCCATGTATTTGTCCATACGATATCTTAAGAACGGAGGACTATACGATCCCTTATCTAAAGGATGTGTCAGAGTTCGACAACGGCTTTTGAGAGCTGCGATTGCTAATTAGATTTTAAAGTCATACTTGCATTTATAGTTATTAGATTTATCCAAGTGGGAGACTGTTGGATTAGGTGTCTAAGCCCATAACTATAAGTGGTATGTACTTGACCCGATAATAACATGGTCCTTTTGGGTTGCCTTCACCAAAACAACTTGACTGGATGAATTATGGGGAAAGAGATTAATTATGATTTATTAATGTATTATGTGAATAATATATTAAAAGAGAAATCATATTATTTTATTGATATTGGTCAATAATTAATTTAGAATTAATTTTGTGGTCAAAAGAGATTAATTAAATTTAGGGGACTGATATGTAATTATAAGATAGTTGAAAAATGGGTTGCGGATCTCTAAGATAAGAGATGGATGAAATCTTATGGATAGCCCATAAGGATTTCGTCTAAGGATAAGGTTTTAGAAGGATCCTATGGGTTGCTTATGGCTTAAGCAACCAGATTAGGTATTTGACTGAAACCCTAATACCTTAGCTATATAAGGAACCCTTGGGGCATCACATTTTCGGCCACTAAAAACCCTAAGAATAGTTCCAGCCGAAAATTAGTATCCCTAGCCTCTCTCTCATATTCTTCCAACTTGATTCTTGGTGTTTGTGATCAATTAGAGGTATTACACTTGTGATACTAAAGCTCTCAAAGGTTAAAGATCAAGCTACAATTGAAAGGTAACATCCTAACATTTTTTTTAGTTATTATTTTCGATTTTTATATGTTAGACATAGGGTTTATAGGCTTGGATGATTATTGCATGTACAATTAGAAAAACTAGATCCAAAGCTTTTGGGTTTGTATGTGTACCATAGAATTGTTGTTATGCTCAAAACCCATCACTCTATGACTCTGAAGTTTGATAAGAAGGCTGAAGATGATGTTACAAGCTTTGGGAATATTTCGAAGTTGCTGACTGAATTAAAGGATCAAGTGTCACAATCTATCTATTCTTCATCTTCACTACTTACTCCTGAGTTCTTAACTCAGAAATTTCGTTTGCTAGAGTCAACCATTCAAAACAAATTGGCTCCACTTTCGAAATTTGCAAGTTTTATGCCAACGAATGCCCCGCTTGTTGTTACAAGGGTGTAATGGGGAGAAAGACGATGTGTTGACAGCAATAAAGGAGAAGGAGGTTCTGGCAATGCAGGTGGTGATGCGAAAGTAGTTGGAAAATTTTTAACTACTCAGATTCCAACTACTTTACCAAAAACATCTACGACAACATCAACAACAACAACAACAACAAGGCCAATAACCAAGGGTATTGTGAATGGTTCTGTTGATGGAGGTTTAAGTTCTTCGAAACCACCTACTACTACTCAAGAAATGTAGAACAAAGGAAAGGGTGTTTCTACTGAGCTTTCAAAAGAGGAGAAGAAAGCTACTTTTGAACAAGAGAAGGAGAAACAGAAAATCCAAAGTATTTTTCGACAACGTGTAAATGACCCTCCCGGTCTCAACAAATGTGATCCTACAAAGCTTTATCATTACGAGTATATCGAAGCTTTGGTTGTGTCTAGGTAGATGCATGATTTTGATAAAGTTCTAAAGAAAATCTACGATACAGAGAACACTAACTTTAATCAGTTGGACTTCCCAATCAACAAAATGATGTTCTTGGATGAGCAGTTTGAGGTTGCAGATCAATACAAAGACAAGGTGGAGTACAAACATATGAAGTTTTGATTTCATGTTGTACTTGGAAAAAGGGAGGATGAGATATGGTCCTTAGTCAAGATAGTTCGTGTTCTTAATGTATCCAAAGATGTTTTATTTGAGGGTATGTTACAGAATTATCGATATCATGCAGTCCGAGGCAACAATGTTACATTCAATTTCTCGGTTGCAGACTTCCCTTTGATGAATCTGTATGATCTGATGATTTATGTAAAGATAGTGAAGAGTGTTGATGTTTCGAAGCTGCAAGTGACGAACAAAGAAGATTTTATGATGGGATGTGCTCACTTGAAATTTTTATTGATGGATACTATGGTTCTTTGGCATTAACTGATGTAGAGTTAGCCTTAGCCTTGGGTAAAGAAATCACTATTCCTTAGTCCATTTTAAAGAGTAAGGCTAGCTTGAAAGATTATGAAGACGCAGAAATTTGATTGAAACCTTTAGGAATTGTGTTTTTTGGAAAGAACAAGAAGGGTAACAACAAAAATTCATGTTTCAAGTATGTAATGTTGAGAGGTACTCTACTTCTCATTGTACAAATCTCATGATTCACATGAATATTTGTGCCAAGAACAATGAAAAGGATAAAAGTGAAATACGAAGGTGATCAACTCGTATGTAGAAGTTCAAAGAATTATACACCAAGCTGCTACTTTGTTGTCATCTTAGATTCGACACTTCCCACAAAGGGGGAGAATGTAGATGTCGAATTATATTGTGAGGTGTCGAATGTTTTGAATAGTTTCGTTAGTTTGTAATGTTATTATAAGGGCGCTTTTAGTTTCGAAACTTTCATGTAATGTCCCTTATATTTTTTGTGTGCTTTCATGTTTCCTATAAATAGGGAGCTGTACTAGATATAGATAAGAACTCTTTGTGATTTTGTCTAAGAACTCTCTTTACTCTTGAAAGCATAATCGAGCCAAACAGACTTTATATAGATCTCGTGTTCATCATTCTTACTTTACTTTGATCTTGTAATTTATTCTTGATTTCATTACAACTACAACCATATCCACCCTAAGCCAAAAACCACCTATACACCATGACCCAAATTCTTACATCACTTAGACCAGCTTAAAGTGCATGACCACAAACAACAAGCAGACAGGAGCAATAAAAACAACATTTTTCAACATCTTCTTCAGCCTTTCAATCTCAATGGTTAGTTCTTAGATCCTAGCTTCAGCAAGTTCCTTCCGAGCTTTCCTAAGAAGGTTGTGCTTCTCCACCTTCTTCTCTAGCTCAACAACTTGACCATTCCTAACCAAAAGATCGTCAATCCTAAGTTTCATGTTCCATAACATATCCTTATAGTGTTTTGGAAATGTCAGCGACGGTGTTTTAGGATTCGGAGGAGGAAGACATGGTCGAAAGGAGTTGATGTTCGCCGGATGGTATAGAAATAGTGAATGTTGTTCTATTGAAACCTTACGAAGGTAATGTAGTAAGCTGATTGGACACCAGCTGGATAACACAGACCACGTCACATTTGACTTTCGTTGACCAACCGGTAAAAAAATGAAGAAAACCTTATTTTTGCAGGTAATTTGTTACTTTAGTGGGGTCAGAGGTACGAAAATTAATTGAATGACTTTTCAAAACCAAATGAAAAACATTACTGTGCTTCTATGTCAATAACCCTATGTTTTTCTGTCCATGTTATGTCAGTTTCATTGTATCTAAGCAAATATGAATAAAACTTTTTTATTTTTATAACTTTACTTCTATGGTAATCTTGATATGTATATGAGTGTGCATGCAATAATTTATACTTTGCTATTTGATGATGTTTATTTATTTTTGAATAAATTTACTTTATAATTTAGGATTTGTAATTATTCACCATATATACAAATTAATCTTTAACTTGGTCGACCGACTATCCCCTATTGATTTTTACAACTTTGATACATACATATATACATACATATAAAAACACACATACAAACACACACACACACACACACACACACATATATATATATATATATATATATATATATATATATATATATATATACAAACACACACACACACATATATGTATATATATATATATATATATATATATATATAAAGAGAGAGAGAGAGAGTCTTTTATTATTTGTTGTGTTTAGGTCATTTTTGTCACTTAATTCTTTTTAAATTTTACAAGGTCAACGAACTTTTGGTTTTGTATTCATTTAGTCACGTCACTTTTGGTTTGCTCGCTTAATTTTTGGATTTATGCTCATTTAGTCATCTAACTTTTAAAATTGTGCTTATTTAGTCATCTAACTTTTAAAATTATGCTCAATTTTATAGCTTTATTTTAAAAGTTTAATGACCAAATGAAAAAAAAAATTTAAGTCAGGTGATTAAATGAGTACAAAATCAAAAGTTAAGTGACGAAACCAAAAGTTAGATGACTAAATGAGCACAAATTCAAAAGTTCGATGACCTTTTAAAACTTAAAAATAGTTAAATGATCAAATGAACACAAACCAAAAGTTAGATGACCAAAAATGACAAACCATATATATATATATATATATATATATATATATATATATATATATATATATATATATATATATATATTATAAAACAAGTATGCACATTGCTAATTTGATCACTATATTTTACTACTAATACTACTACTAATAATAATAATAATAATAATAATAATAATAATAATAATTATTATTATTATTAGACAAAATTGCAAAAATGGTCCCTGTCGTATGGATTTTTTTTGGGGTTTTAGTCCAAACCACGATTTTTTTGTATTGGTGGCCCTTTTTAGCTAGTTTCCTTGCACTTTTGGTCCCTCGGAAAACTGAAAAGACTAAAATGCCCTTCTAATACATTTTTTATGGTTTTTTATATTTAATTTAAAGTTTTATTAATAAAAATTATGGGCCCACCTCTCTTTCTCTCACCCTCTCTCTCTCTCTCTCTCTCTCTCTCTCTCTCTCTTTCTCTCGCTCTCTCTCTCGTCTTCCTCAATTTATCTCCCAGTTTTATTTCTTCCTTTTCTTCATTTTTATGGTAAAAACACCACCGGGGGTGGATGCATTTCCGGTGACCATCAATAATAACACCTCCACCGGTGAGCCAAGGGGCTGCCATCGCCACAACCAACACCTCCCTCGCCACCAATTGTCGCCATCAGTACCTCCACCGACGAGCCAAGGGCCTGCCATCGCCACCACCAACACCTCCCTCGCCACTAGCTGTCCCTTCACTGATGATTCTTCTCGGATCAACAGAGGATCGAAGACCTCCATTCTTTTTTACGTTTTGCTGCCAATCACAACAAAAAGGGATTGAAGGCTCCAGGATAGCCTTCTGCGGGCACCCCTCCTCGTGACTGTGTAACCACCACAGGACAAAGTTTCCTTATTGCCCTCGTGTTTCTTTTCTGCTTTCGTTCAAGCTCTTTCTTCTCCGATCAGACAAGGACTGGAGAAACCCACTCCCAGCCCTCCTCCTCATCCCCTTTCTGCGGACGATCACCACCCACAAACACCCCCTGAATCTGTTGTTGTTTCCAATCGGGTCCCTCTTCTCGATCATACAAAGGAAGAGGACCAAAGTCCTTATTCCTCAAACGTGTGTTGCTGACCGATTGGATATGAAGAAGAAAGAAGATGCTGAAGGGAAAAGGGTTTTTGGGCTTAATGTTTGATAGCCTCGTGATTTTGCAGGATGTTGCTCCATCTCCGGTGTAGCTTCTTGACAACAATCAAGAAGAGGACGAAGTGAGCAATTGAAGAGGTTGGTCAATTGCAAAGAGGGATAAGGCATCTCTAGTTCCGGTCTGCAATTAATTTGGAACGAAAGGAACTTGATTGAAATAAGGGAAGAAGGAATGAAACGCAACAACCGGGGTGGATCAATCATTATTCACAGGAAGAGAGGGAGGGCTGCCATGGTGGTCTCCTAGTTAGGGTGGAAACAGTAGCTTCGACTATTTGCTACTGCTGCTTCTTTTTTTTTTGTTAGCATATGAGAGAGAGAGAGAGAGTAGATATGTGGGCCCAATTTTATATTTAATAATAATAATAATTTTAAAAAGTGAAAGAAAAATGAAAATTAAATTCATTAAGGGTATAATAGTCTTTTTAGTTTGGATAGGGACCAAAAGTGTAAGGAAACTCATTCAAAATGACCACCAATGCAAAAAAGTCATAGTTTGGACTAAAACTCAAAAAAATACGTACCACAGGGACCATTTTTGCAATTTTGTCTTATTATTATTTGTAGTTACACGTTTTGGAGACCAAACTTCAAGAGGAGAAGACGCAACCATATATGACATGTAGGAATGTCTTCAGCGACAAACACAAGAAGAACGTAAAGAGTCTTAAGCCCGTGTTTAAATGCACACATATATTTATTTTTGAAAATTCATCCAAATGGTGTGGGACGCAACCCACCTGATTCGTACTAGTAGTTTTGTTGTTTCTAAAATTTATTATTAGAATCATTCTAAATTTATGTTTATTTTCTTTGGTTATATTTGAATTTTGGATTTGTGTGTTTTTTATTATTTGATTTTCCTTACAAATACTTGATTATTTGTAGTTCTAAAGTTAATTTTTGAAAATACTTGATTATTGACGGCCTTCTATCACAATAGTTTGTCGCTAATCCATCGATAATCCCTGAGCCTTGCAGCACTACTCTGTGTTAAATGTGAGCGTTGATAATCTATTGATACAAACTATTGTCTCTGTCCTGTCGCTAAATATCTATCACTATCCTAGATGAATTTGTTGCTATTTGGTTGGTAAACAAAATGTATTGGATTAGCAACGGATCCTTTCGTCTCTTAAATTGGAAATGATTGCTAAAATATTATCCATATTAATTTATGTGGCATAGTGGCATCCGAAGGATATTTACATATAGGAAATTAATTATTCTAGTAATATATTTCGATGAAACATATCATCACACTACAAGTCGGTGTTAGCCCACTTTAATTATTAACTATAAAGTTCTGGGTTCAATTTCAAACAGAAAAGATATATATATATATATATATATATATATATATATATATATATATATATATATATATATATATATATATATATATATATATATATATATATATATATATATATATATATATATGACAAAATTGCAAGAATGGTCCTTGTGGTATGTTAAAACTAGCAACTTTGGTCCAAAATAGGTTGGGCTCGCAAGGATGGTCCAATAGTTCCATTTTGTTGCGAGTTTATTCCAAAAATTTTAAAACTTTTTATAATGACGAATTTGCCCTAGTTATTTTCCCCTTTTTAATTTTTTTTATTACAAAAATCCAAAAAAGAAAAAAAAAGAAAATCTCTCTCTCTCTCTCTCTCTCTCTCTCTCTCTCTCCCTTTCATCTCCAACACGTCTATCTCCCTCGTTTCTCACTTCTCCGGCGAAGAGAGCCACCACAGCCGACTGTGGTAGCTCCTCCGCCTCCCCCTGTCGTAACCCACCACCATCCTGTTGGATTAGTGTCTAAGTCCATAACTATTTTGGTATGTACTTGATCCGATGGTGCATGATCCTTTTATGTTGCCTTCACCAAAGCAACTTGATTGGAGAAATAAATAAAGAGAGAGAGGTTATTATGATTTATTAATATGTTATAAGAATAATATATTAAAGGAGAAATCATATTTGTTTAATTAATATTGATCAATAATTAATTAGGAATTAATTTTGTGATCAAGTGTAATTAATTAAACTAGAGGGGCTGATTTGTAATTATGTGATAGTTACAAAATAAGGTAAGGATTATCTTAAATATAGGGTGAACGAATTTAAGGAGATAATGCCTTAGAATTCGACTAGGATAAGGGTTTCTAAGACTTATCTTATGGTTACTTGGTGGGCAAGCAACTAGATAAGGATAAGGACTAAAACCCTAATCTTTACACCTATATAAACCCCCTAAGGCTCATGAATTCGTCTAAGCCTTCCCAAGAAGTCCTAAGGACGAATTCCTACCTCTCTCCTCTCTCTTTATACCTTCTCCATTTGCTCTTGGTGTTTGTAAGCCATTAGAGGAGTGACACTTGTGACTCTAAGCCTTCCAAAGTCAATTCAAGGAGGAATTAGGATTGTTATTGCTACATAACAATCAAGGTAATATCTTAAACCTAATTATATGTTAATATTGATTTCCATATGCTAGAATTAGGGTTTATAGTCTTGGATTCAAAGCATGTACAATAGAGAAACCTAGATCCAAGCATTAGGGTTTGTATGAGCACATAGGATGTCTTATGACCAAAACCCATCAGTGGTATCAGAGCCTAGGATGGTTTCAATTGTATTGATGCATTGTATATCTAAAAAATTCGATTTTTGGTGTTCTAGAGGCTGGACTCGCCGAGTCCATAGCTGAACTCGCCGAGTCCAGGGTGACTCGACGAGTCCAGGCTTGACTCGACGAGTCAACTCGTCAGATAGTGCTTATCTCGGGATTTCTTGCTGTTTTTGCATATGGATAGTTACCTTATCATGTTAGATCAATATTAATCCGATTATATGATATATTTGACTATATTTTTGATCTAAATGAAGATATTTATCAATTAATAAGATAATTGTTTCCTTATAAGATAATTGATTAATTATTTTGAGTAAATTGATAAATTGTTTTGCAAGAAATCATTAAATAAATCAAATATGGATAATTATGTGATTAAATGTTAATTTAAAATTATTTGTTATTTGATCCTTGTTGTTATGAAAAGTTTCATATTTTCCCCTTTAGGTTTTATAGTTTAAATTTGAACCCAAAAGTTTTGAAGTTTTGAAATTTAAATAGTTAAAACCCTAATGTTTTGAAAAAGGTTTCAAAACTTGCCCTCAAGTTTTGGAATTTAAAAGTTGATTAAAAGTTGATTAGGAATGTTAAATTCTAAAACCCTAGTAATGTTTTGAAAAGTTCAAATCACACCCTTATGGTTTTATTAATTAATTAAGGTGTATAATTAAAAGAAGTTTAATAAATCCATAAAAGTTTAGGTTTAGAATTTAATTGAATTAAAAGTATAATTGTTAAATTTGATCACCTAATATTTTAAAAGTGTAAAATGCACCCTATACTATATATAACATTAAAAGTCTAACTATATATATATATATATATATATATATATATATATATATATATATATATATGAGTAAAAGTCAGTCTTACCGTTAGTAGGCCTCATTCACGAAGCTGGTCTATAAGGGGTGTTTAAGGAAATTGCCTATAATATGGCGATTGAATGGGTATCCACTCTTACCCACCGCACTCTTGACTAGTGGAGGGTCGTTAGCCGAACGGGTAGGATAGGACGAAACCTTCCATTATAAGTATAATGAAATACAAAGTAACTAAATGTTTTCAAATTCCCAATCTTAGTTACTTAGGCAAAGTGAATTGATGCAATTCCATGAAATTACACTTTGTGCCCTTGCGAAGACGTTAGTGGAGCGTGTGTGGTTTACCGGCACACTAAATGGTTCTAAGCAAAGGTAGCAAAGGGTGACTCAATGTTTGTCATAGTTCGGTGGAGCGTGTGTGGTTTACCGGCACATCGAATAGGTGACTGTAACATGTGAGGGCACCATGTAAGTTTGCATGGTTATTCACACCCGCTTTGTGATCCTCGGCATCCCAGTCACAAACAAGAGGGGCATATCGAGATTTAAACATGCCATTGAAATGTTCAATGAATCTCAAAGGATCTAGGAGTTTTCATAGATTTAAAACTTAAATTTCTTTTTCGTTTTTCATGGTGGAAATTAGTGAATCGTCATTCACTTACCTTCAAATATTCTGCAACTAGATTACGGCATCCCTTTTCTAGGTTGTAGCGTATTGTGTTGGGTCCTAGCCTTAGTATCTCATTTGGGTGATTTACTAAGGACTCAATCAATCAATCAACTAACTTGAATTTGTTTTCTCCCGTTTTGTAGATGTCAAAGTTCGACAACTATGGTCTTCCCAAATCCCGTGGAACAAGCATTCCACATGAAGATGATATTCCACGATTCGATCGAGGAACAAGAAATCATGCTTCACTTCCTCCTCCTCTCCAATTATTCTCCCTAACCCACAAGATTGTAAAATTGAAAGGTTCAATATCACTCAAGCCCTTTTGGCAAGTAAACATAAAGAAGGAAAGTCGGTGTGTGCACACGTCTTAGGGATGAAGTCACACATTGATAGGTTAAGAATGATGGGATCCGTTGTCGGTGAAGAGATGGCTGTTGATTGGGTTCTTCAGTCACTTCCTAACTCGTATAGTGAGTTCGTAAGAGAGTACTATATGATGAACCACGACGTGACCCTTATTGATCTCACCTATATGCTTATTGCTGCTGAATCAGCAATGGTTTGGCGCAATAGAAAAGCAAAGTTGATTGGTGAATCTGCCTTCAAGACCTCTATGGATATAGACAATGGCAATGAAAGACATGCAATGATCGAAAAGTTTGATCATAAGAGAAAGGCGATGTCTGAAGTAGTTCCATGTGTTGTTCCAAAAGAGTCAATTTGCTTTTATTGCCAAGAGAAGGGGCATTGGAGACGAAGTTGCCCTATTTACCTAAGAGATCTAAGAGATGGGAGAGTCAAAAGTATGACTACGCTTCAGGTAAAATCCACTATCTAACTCCGTTAAGTTCCTATTCATTGATTCTTAATACATGATGTGATAAGATTGCATTTGAATGTTTTGCAGGATCGGTGAAAAGAAAGGAAGCTTGATAAGAGAGCAAGATGAATCTAATCACAAGAGATGGATCTCGATCGCATGGACTTGAAGATTGGATTTTGAGCTTAGATAGTTATGATAGAAATTTTCCTTTTACATAGTTTTCAATAGATTTTGCATTGT